GCCCTCAGATACCCCCCCCCGTGTCTTGGGCGCCTATAGGGCCTTAAGCATCAATCAATGCCTCAAGTGGAACTCGTATATACGACACATAACTAAAGATACTGTACAAATTATCGGTTCTCTGTATCGCTACTGTAAGTTCTTGACTCCTTATGTAAACCTTTACCTTTACAAGAACCTGATCAGACCGAAAATGTTGCCATATATACAGAAACTGCGCAATTTTCACATTCCAGTCTAGATTGACTCCAAAAGAGACTACGCGTCTTTGTGTGTGATTAATTAATTTCCAATCTGCAATCCCTTTCACACAGACGAAATGTTGCAAGCCTCTCGCTGCTTTATCGCTATTTCCATGGAAAATGTCCTGAAAAAACTACCTTCTTTTAGTTTCACCTCTAAGACGCGTCATGCCACGCACATTGTAGCGAGTAACAGTTCCTATTCCATTGGCGACATATGAGTTTTAATCGAGCAAGTTCTTCCAACGAACTGCTGTTTTGTAGAACCAACTCCAATAAGGATACTTTTCCGAACAATATAGTCTTCACCTCTTCAAAGCTTTATGGTGACACGGATCTACAGACACATGAAATATGTCGGAGTAAACATTATCTGGACGTTTATATGATAACAACAAAGGGGGAGGTATTAATCTGAACGTAACTAAGGTAACTCCTCTTTCGAGACAATTAGACATATTTTTTTTTTCAAATTGAATATGTTTAAACATTTTTTTAAAAATATATACCGATTTGTTTTCATGGTGCACCCTCTGTTTCCATATATGAATGTTGATTTCTATCTGTCTATATTTCTGGTTATCTATCTTATCTATTGTCCTCATCTTTGTCGCCATATTTATTAAACGTTTTGGATTAACAGGAGATAACTGATAAATGACATCCATTAAACATGGCACGTGGAACTATCTACCCCAGTTTTCAGTTCGACATTCTAACCACCTGAAGAATTCCGGAGCGTACAACGCCTATTTCACAAAGTGAGGACAATAACTGTTAATGTACATTGTTGATTTCTATGTTCATACATCTATAACTAACAACGAACTAACTCTATTCTCCCTATAAATATATTTTAATCAATACACACGTGTGTGTGTATATATATCTGTCTGTATATATATATATATATATATATCGATACCTACCTGGGATTGAATAATTGATCGCTAAGGTCGAGGATCAGAAAAATAAATGTGTTTGCAGCCTATCACTAAAGGTATCATTCACATTTCACGTGAAATATACATTTTTATAATATTTATCGGCCTTGTCAATGTCCTTAATTAAGTCGGCAATATTAATCGCATAAAACAGACATTATGCATTGAAAATTTCTGATCAGTCTTCAGCTATATATAAAACTACATTTTTTCCGTCTCCTTACATTGTACAGAGGCCATGATAATTGTCAGCTGATCTTAATAAGTCACAGTTACGATGCTACCAAAATCTAAAAATTCCGAATCAATGTTTTAATCCACTAAGCTATTATCTCGAGGGATAATCCTGACTCAACTACAAACAAGGACACACACACTACACACACATAACAACGGCTTCCAAAATTTAATACTTTTTGTTTTCACTCTCGCGTAGTCATGTGTGACGTCATGGGCCGCATTTTCGCTTCCTGCGGTTCGTATGCACTATTTCATTGCTTGGAAATCTTCCATACAAACAAAACAAACTATCATTGTTTCTATGTCTGTGTATTGTTTATTTATTGTAATGTAGTCATCTCTGATGATGGGTTATACAAGCCGAATAGATACTTATGTATCTATGGTGATTTTCTCTCGTCTTTCAATGATAATTTAAGCAATTTTTATGATTTGAAAAATAAATAGACAAAATTTGTAAATTTATTTAATGAAACAAGGATTAATATATATATATATATATATATATATATATATATATATATATATATTATCTGAAATTGTTACACAATTGAAGTCTTGTTTCGATGCGTATCATGAAGGCAATTGATTTTTGTTTACGCATTGTCTTTAATCATGTTTTCTGTCTGGTTTATTTGTTCTTTTAAAGAGAACATGAAACTCATTTCTGTCTTTTTGACTTCATCTTGATAATATAGCGTTGAGCACTTTTTTTGTATTGAGGATGAAGGTGTTTGTTTTGAAGTACTTTTCCATTTTTTCCATTTTTTTCTTTTTTTGTTCAAAATTTTCTCTTATTTAAGGTGTTAGGTCTTTTAGCAAGTATTTTATCTATCTATCTATCTATCTATCTATCTATCTATCTATATATTTATAAATATATATATATATATATATATATATATATATATACAAGTAACAGAATGGATAGCGGCTCCGATTGAAGAATCTTCGACTTCAAATTGAAAATTGATGAAACTCGTTGCGTATATTTATATTATATATATATATGTTGAGAAAGAAATATTTTTAAGGTATTTTTTATTTATGGGATAAAGTGCTAATATGAGATAGAGCGTATGTAATACAAAAGTTCATTGAATTCAACACACAGAGGCGACAGGCGGTTTCATTCTAGACACAATCCGATTCTATGTCTGCCGACTCTGATACTGATTAAATGTTCACTTTTGTATGTACGTATGTATATATATATATATATATATATATATATATATATATATATGATGTATCTATGTTTACGTATATATTAAGAAGAGTTTTACTTTTCATTGAGTTTTTCTTGCACTTAAAATACTATCGTGGATATTTAAATATTTAAAATATATATATATATATATATATATAAAAAATATCCACTACATGTCACTTATCTGATCAAAGTGCTATAAAACCATCTATCTACCCACAATTTCAAGAATCCTTAATATTATCATTTGAAAATGTTATGAACCAATGGGATAATTGATTTTTACTTAACTAGGGTGACCTTCTAGGCAACTTGTGCTACCATGGACACTGTTAGTCAATCTGGTGTAGATCTCAACTATCGAATCGGGATAATTCTTCATGTTAACTGGTTATCTATCTATCTATCTATCTATCTATCTATCTATCTATCTATCTATCTATCTATCTCAGTTTGTTCATTATCTGCCTATTTCAGTCTGTTCATTATATATCTATTGATCTATCTATCTATCAAGCTATCTATCTATATATATATATATATATATATATATATATATATATATCGTACTTAAATAAATACGTGCAATCTGTTTGCACAAATATTGATGTTATGTGATACTTGACATGTACAGTGTTCACATTTTTTTAAATTGATAATAGCTTAATGGATAGATCACATATTGCACTGATTTGAATTTCATACAAACAAGGACTACCAGGAATGGTATTAATGATTTTGTCTGTAACTATTTTACGCCTAACTATGGCTACAATTATTATAGATAGAGCAATAATCTTATACTACGAGATATTTTTCAATTTTTAATTGAAGATCCTTATATTTATTTCATTTGCAATATTCTTTAACATATGTATTTGATCTGATGTCCCACTTATTCATGTAAGAAGTTATTTTTTGTTCTAGTCTTTAATCACTCTGTCTGTTTTTATAGATTTCATGACTGTCAATATGAATGGTAAAGTCTCAAATAAATGTAACCTTATGGCTTTTAGAAAATATCGTTTACAAATATCAAGAATATAAAAAGAAAGTATATTCTTTTGTACTGATTGAGAATGTTTATATAAATTGATTCTGATTCTAATGTACGTATGTATGTATGTGAGTAATTTGAGGATATATTGTTAAAATGTAAATAATGCTAAGAAAAAAAAAGATCCACTAATGAAAAAGAGAGAGAAAATGAACCAATGGTGATTTTCTAAGAGTAGCTTCGATGCGGCACAAGGCCGAAAGTTTTGGTCATCCATTGTGAATAGAACTCATTATTCAGTCGTAATTGATCTAGCGAGACAAGCTTGTTGATCATAAGACCACGTCTAAGTGTCCCAAAACTGATCAGATGAGAGAAAAACATAGATAGATAGATAGATAGATAGATAGATAGATAGATAGATAGATAGATAGATATGAAATTGAGTAAATGATGCTGTTGATTTTCTTCATGAGATTAATATTTAAATTATTTTAATACGGAATATATTTATATATTATATATTCTGAAATAAAAGGAGATTATGAATTTAACCGTTTCCATTTAATTTCCTAACATTTTTATAGTCGTGTATGTTGGTTTGGGAAAGAAGTAATTCTTTCAGGAATGGAGATAGATAGATAGATAGATAGATAGATAGATATAGATAGATATGAACAGACTGATAGATAGATAGATATGATAGATAATAGATAGATAGATAGATAGATATGAACAGAGATGAATAGATAGATATGAACAAAAGATAGATAGATAGATAGATAGATAGATAGAAAGAAAGAAAGAAAGAAAATGTATAAACAACATCAATAAATATTGATTAAAGTGTAAATAATAAATAAATGACTCGAAAGAAAGGAAGAAGAAAGAACAGGAACAAAAAAAAGAAAAGAAAAATGGTATATAAGAAAAAAACAATTTTTTACAGAAGATCGATGAGTATCGATTAAAATGTGGATCATAAATAAATGAATTGAAAAAAGAAAGAAAGAAAGAAAGAAAGAAGGGATTTATATCAACTTTAAGACATTTTTTTTTATTCAAAGAGAAAGGATAAGAAGCGACATGTCAAGTTCTTAATGGAGATCTTTCTTCAGATTTTGCTTCTCGTCAAAAGACAGAATCGCCTGACAGGCGCAATCAATAGAAACACTTTTACTTATCTTCCAAACAGTGAAGTACGAAGGCCAATATTGACGCAAATCCTACCTCCGTTACGATGTACCGGTCTTCGTATCAATCGTTATTAACTTTCGTCATTGCACTTATCAATAAGTAGAACTCATTGTATGCATTACTTGGTTTGTTTATGTCTGGGTCAGTCAGCTTTGGGGAAGATCGAATAGATGTGGGGCTTCTCGTCGGCCGCCGAGGTCGATTACACGATTTACACGTGCCTCAATGGCTGTATGTACGAATGTGTTTTGACAGGAAATTTCTACAGCAGCCACGAGATTTTTACAGTTATAAATGTAAGATAAGAATCTGAGCGAAAATCATTGACTAAAAAAAAAAATGTATATCGGTATATCGATGTGGGTACACATGCACCAAGATAGCGATCGAATTATCCCGATTCGATAATTTAGATCTAAACCTGACTTAACTAGTTACATATCTATCTAT